AAAGTGTTGAATGTTAGAAGACATGAGTGAAATGTGTTGGATAAAACCTGTCACTAGATGGCAGCACAAACTTAAACATACAGGGTGTTTCAGACCTGAGTTGAATTCAAATTGCAACACAATTTGCTTTTGGGGAGACTCTACTTTCAGCCTCTCGGCAGGACTTAAAGACACATGTTTGGTTCAGTTAAATTAATATTTATATCTATTGAAAACCCATGTTGGTTGTGTGTCACCAACCTTATGAATAAAGCACAATAATACTAACAATAGTTAAAACCAAAAGAAGAGGTAGTTCAGATAACCTTAGCATTTAGAGTATCTATCTTTTATCAGAGGTTTATTTCTTTATTCATTTTTAAAATATGTTATATATATGTGTTTGTGAATCTGACAATTCCGGTGTTACGGCTTGAAAGGTGACCATGTTAGCTGGGGACTTTCAGCCGAATGCGTCAGTGGTTGTTGTAGATCATGCAGATGTTGAAGACAGAAATTGTTACTACGAATGCCTCTTTTGTTTTGTTTTTTTTAATGTCCATTTTTTAAATCAAATAGTCTATGTCTTTAATGAAAAACTTACCAAAGAGGCATCCGTTTGGACACTAAAACATTTGTTGAATCTGCTAGAACAACAGACGGCTGAAAGTGGCCACTTCACACGGTCACTGTTTACAACGTAACACCGCAATGCAGCTAACTGTTAGCCGCCGTAGTAGTTAGCATACGACATTCCGATGCTAAACTAGCGTCGGAGATACAACATACCTTTTTTTTGGCTCACATTAGTGTCCCTGAGAGACTTTAGATTAGAAGCTAAATGACGATAATGTACTTTTCAAGAAATTAGCACTTTAGGATTAGCCTAAACTACTGAAAAGTTTGCTGACATTAGCTTAAAAATAAACGCGCTTATTAAAGTCCAGCGGGGTTAAGTAAGCTGGTGCAAAGGAACAACAATAAGATGAGTCCTGTGTAAAGTAGGCTTGTGTTTAACTCTTTCCTCACCTGTTTAGATCAGGCTGAGCACAGCCTCTATGGAGTCACAGAAGTGACATTAAACTAATGAACATGTGAAGATGGATTAATAAAAAGTATGGAAAGATCAGCAAAGACAATATTAGAATAGGCCTATAGCCACAAAATGAAGACAAAAAAGTAAAATAGCTATTATCCAAATGATATTTTAGCATTTATTTTTATTTTGACATTGATTATTAGGCTACTATGGAAGCCCTAAGATAACATGGACATGCATCAATAGGCCCACTTTTCCTCTGAATCAATTTTCCATATTATAAGTCCATTTTTCTTCAGATTTTAACTTATTTCTCTGGGATAGGTTAAAGGCTTAATATGCTATTTTTCACACTTAAATGTAATAGAAATCAAGTATATCCTCTGAAAATAACTCTGTGAGTCATGACTGTCTACAATGGGTGTAACACCCGAGTCCCACTGTCTGTGATGTTTTCAGAGTTTTCAGAGTCCTATCTTCACTTTGTTTACATCGCCCGGACGGCCGGCCGGCTCCTCACCTCGCGTATAAAAGTTGTTTAATTGAGGGACTAGAGAAAAGAAGAAAAACATACTGTACTCACTGCTTAACTGAATGTCACGTAAGCGATCACGCTCATTTCAGATAAATTTACATGCAGTGTGAAGATACGAGCATAATAAAGATCGCTAGCATTAGCATGCTAACACAACAATGCACCGCAAGTTGTTTTGGTTTCATGCTGGTGTTCAAGGGCGACATCTGCTGGATCAAAAAATCACATATAAAACCTTTAACTGTAGGCCTAACAAGTTGATTTCAGACAGTCTCTGGAGTTCTCGAGAAATTAAATCGTTACAACTGGAAATGTTTTTCAATGTTGTTGTTGTTGTATATTTTGTCTGTTGATGTTACAGTTGTGGGTGTCTGACACTTCATGAGTTCATAGTGAAATCCAAATAAACCCAAACAGCACTTTAACTAAATAAATACATTATTTTATTAGTATCTTGCACAAGCCTATCTATATAACAAAAATGTGTAAGTACATACATTTTGCTTTACACTGTCTTTGTACTGAATAAAGTTGATTTTGAATGGTATATTTTAAATAAATGAAAAAAAATCTTTACATTGTTTGTCTCAATCAATATTTGAACAAAGTGTAACAGTAAAAAGGGACAGGGAAAACTAATCGATCTATGAGGTACAATCTACAATCTGGACTTTGTTGGGGGGTCAGCTAGTTACTGAACAATTCGTTCAGCCTTGAACTTAACCTTGGATCACAACCACTCTCCTAGATAATGCTGGGAGAAAAAAAACCCTTCTACTTCTTTAAGCTTAAGAACTATGGCCTAAAAAATGTGCGGCGATTGCTTCTGATAAGACTAAAAACACATTGCTTGCTTTTCCAACCAGAAAAATCTAGTTGATTAGAAACTAGAGTATATAAACGTTCATATAAAAACAACTTAAAAAGGTAACAAGCTCCCAACAATGCACCTGTAGAGCCACTTTAAAACTGAACAATAATTCCGGTTCAGAAAGCAGGTTTTCAGTCATAGAGAGGATGACATACAACAACAATCTGAGTGCATCCTGTTAGCAGATATCTGACATGTGCACAGATGGACCACAAAGAGGACTAGAGCCTTGGCCTATGACCTTTTGTCCTCAGACTCAACAAGTTTACTCTCCTTGCTGGTGTTTCTTCTTTCGGCTATCATATTTAATTATTATAATAAATGATGAAATTATTAATTAGAAGTTACAATAAAACATGACAGCTATGACGAAGATGATGACGTGAGTTGTTTTGTTGCAATGTGTCAGATATTCTTCACATATTTTACCATGTAAAATAATCAATTTCTATATATACGTAGGCCTATTGAAAGTGTCTTGGATTGTTTTTGATAGTTGCAGTTGCAGTTTTAGAAATAGAAAGTACAGGTAAAGGAATAATGTTTCATTCTAAGTATCCAACTTAGTCTATGCAAATATCGGAAATCAGTTTGATCTGGCAGCAACCTCAGAAGTAAAAAATGTAGCTAATGCAGAGGTTTTGGAAAACTGTAATGCCTTGAGTGACCACAAGAGGCTGTCTCCAAAAATGAGTCATTATGTTTACAGCTACATTACACTGCATGTAAATTAGTTGTAGTCTCTAAGGCTCATTTCTCTATGACATCTGTACACAGGCACATTTTTATAAATCTCACCTGTTTAAATTATAATTAGGCTTATAGTAATGAATCAGGGCCATGGCCTCTTTGAGTGTTGGAGCTGCTAGCTGTCTCACATCAGCTATTTCAGTCACTGAACATAACCTCTAAACCGTGTTTGTGCTGTTGGACCCTTTTGAAGATTTTTAAATGTAAATATCAGATAAATAATCTGTCTTGCCATGCTCTTTGTTCTACCAACACATTTTTCAAGCAGTCACATTACAACTTGATTTTATTTACATGTTAGATGCTAATTAGCAGCTGTAGGTGTCTGCTCAACATTCCTTTTAGCTCATGCACTGCTTTCTTACATAGATTTTTTTGTGGCATTCTGTGCGGGTGAGTCAGGATTGTAGTTTGCTTAGACAGGAGGCAAGAGTGATAAGAAAGCCAGCTCCTTTCAGTCACCACTCTCAGATACAAGGGGCGTTTCACATCTCTCTTCTCATCTCGCATCTTAAGTCTCATAAATAAACAATCTGCTCAACTGCAAACAGGAATAGAAAGTTACTGTGGGAAAGATATTGCTTAGACAGCTCGTTTGTTATCTTAGCAAAATGTATAGATACATTTCTAATCCACATAAGATAACTTATGGCTAAAAAAAAAACATGTTTTGCAATGGTCATGCTAAGCAGAGGCTTTGAAAGAATATAAAACCCCTTTCACAAAAATGTGCTTTATACCCCACTGCACAAAATAACTTCTTCAGACAGACACGCTCCTCAAACTAATTACTATTATGTTCCACAAGTATCAAAACTTGAAGAGACTGTTTTTTCTTATTCTTCACCTGACTCCTGGAACAAGTTACAGCTAGATGTTCGACATGAATACACTTTCACCTTTTGGGCATTTACATGTTTTTGGTTTTAAACCATCCACTTCCTATAGGTCTACATTTGTAATTGTTTTATTTACGTATGTAGCTCTTTATTATTTTATTCACTTGTACCATCTAGGCTAGTATTTTAGTCCATTTTTGGTTTCATCTTATACACAACATTTCAATCTACCTTTTAGTTGTCCATACCTCATGTTCAGAATTGCAGCTTCCTGATTTGAATGTCCTTTTATCAAACTCTTGTCATGGTTTTTATGATGGTTTCATAGTCCCTCTTAATTTCTTCTGTAACTGAGTCAATATCATTGTAAATGAGGGTTGCACCCTCAATGATCCTTCAAGGATAAATCAAGTTTGAATAAATAAATAAATAGGATTTTGATGCTATAAACAGAGTTTGGATTGTTTAAGTGCCCCATTTTTATTTTCCTTGTATCCTAACCCCCAAAATGTTTGTGTGGGTCCCTGGCAGATAAGGTAGCCTATGTTCCCAGTAAAGAAAACCATCTTTCCCTTAATTACCCAATTATAGACCTAACTTGGTCAATCTGAAAATTTCAAGAAAAAATTCGCACACTAGGCCTATTTTCTGACGTTTGATGAAAAACAGCTGTGAAGAGTTTATAAATGGTAACACTTTGGTTAAACTCTCAGCGCGCTGCTCTTAAACGGTGTTGAACTACAAACATTTATTCACATGAAAAGTTGTCTCCGGTAGTTTACATTGAAACCTGTCTGCTCCCTGATTGGCTCAGTCGAGTCTGTCTGTCAGCCTGTGGTGAGATTAGTCGTCCTCGCTCTGACCATGCCCCTCCTCTGCTGTCGCCTAGGAAACGGGGCGTGGATAACGCGCTCGTGAAGCAGGTGATCGCTGTGATTGGCTGAAGGGTCGGATGACGCAGAAGCGTGCCATCGTTCCATCCGTACAGCTGAGCCGCTGAGGGTGAGCCCGGTCGTTTGAGCTCCACACCGGGAGGCTGCAACCTGCTCACCGTCACAACTCACCCTCTCCAACCATTCTCCGTAACCACTCAAGGTAAGATATACGAGTTTTATGTTAGTTTTGATTACATTAAAAGCTTTCGACTTAACGCAGGTCGTTAAACGCGCAGGTACTTCAGAAATAGACAGTAAGCGGACAAAGCCGCTCTGCTGACCCGTCCAGGGAGCCTGTTTCATCGGACTGGACGGCTCCAACACCGCCGCGCAGCCAGACGTGATTTATCTCATCGGCATGAATAAAATAGAAACATCAATCTTTTTCTTTTAGTTAAAAAAAGTCCTATCCTTACATATGCCATTTGATAGCTTATTATATTTCTGTAAAATAACGAGAAATTAATGGATTATGCATTTTTACAAACAAAAGTGGAATTATTCTTTTGAGTGTAAAGAAACTCATCACTATACTTGCAAACTACTCCTATCAGACAGGGAGCAGACTCAGGTCAGTGATTCATTACATAATTGCGGAAGTTTAAAGCGATGTACCGTTTCTATATCTTTTTTAAACCCTAATAGAAAAAGGCTAATACCCATTAGATGTTCCAAACGAGATCTCTCTTTCTTTTCCTGAAACGAATAGATTTTTTAGTTATTAAATAGTCATGCACAAAGTTGAATTCAAAATGGTTTAGCTTTACATTTTATTATAGGCCTATAATTTCATGTTCTCATTCTTTTGTTACAAGTCTATCCCAGCAGCCTTTGTTGTTTGTGTTTCACACTTACTGTATATGAAATAGCAGATTGTCCCAGTGATGTTTCAATGGTTTTAACATCACAACAATAGAGCATAATTTTGAAATTACTGACAGTCTCTCCGTTTGTATTCGAATTTAAGGGATAAAAGAGACAATTGAATGATGGCCTAAATTAATTTGTTTGCATTTTTAATATGCTAGTTGTTAATGCATGTGGACGGGGATTAAATGGTTGCCCTTTGTGCTCGTTGATTTATTGTCAGAACTGAGTTACGTTTTTTAACAAACCAAACAAAAGTCATTTTTTAAATGCACTAAACTTGGACAGGGAGGCTCAAGTTGGGTTAACAGATTCTGGTCTGGACACAGGAGCTAAAGAGGGATTCTTATTTAAATTAAACAAAAGTTTCACTATGAAAAAAACATTCATAATACAAGGTCATCACACATCCCTCACTGTATATAAAGGTGTTCACTCACTCACGGCCTCTCTCTCTCTCTCCTCTCGTGTTATTTGATAGCTCTGCTGCACCATGCTGACTCGCCTGTTCCGCATGCACGGCCTCCTGGTGGCCTCCCACCCCTGGGAGGTGATCGTCAGCACGGTAACGCTCACCATCTGCATGATGTCCATGAACATGTTCACCGGAAACGACCAGATCTGCGGCTGGAACTTTGATTGCCCCAAAACTGAGGAGGTGAGTGAAGGATATCAGTGTGTTAGTGTGTCCATCACACAAAGAAAAGTTGGGCCAGTGACCTAGAGTGAGAGACCCTCAAGACTGTACTCTTGTTGCATTTTAGATCATATTTCACACTTAAGATTTTGTGCTTGAACCCAACCAAACTGTGACCATTTTATTTGTCTTTCAGAAGCCCTTATTATAGTGTGCAAATATTACTGATAAGACTAAAATGTGTGGACTAAAATGATACTCTACAGGTTGACTATGCATTGATATCTGAACACAGACCACACATCTGTGCAGATCGTATGCCTGCAAGATATGAGAAAACATGCATTGATGGATAGTATGAAAAAGTATCAAAATCAAAAAAACTGCAGATCTTCAGTAAAAATTTAAACCTAAAACTGTGTCGAACGAAAGAGAGAGCACTGTCTAAATGGTCTAAGGTTTCGGTTCAGAACGGTTGTCAATGCATTTGTGCAATTTTGCATGCCATCCTCCACTCCCTCCTCCCAGTATTTCCAGTTTCTCTTCAGCTGTCCTATCTGATAAAGGCGAAAAGGCCCAAAAAATAACTTTAAAAAAAAGCAAAATCTGGAATCATAGAAGCTCGAGTTCTCTGACTTTTATCACCTTTTACCTAATTTGTACAGGCGTTTGTTGATGCTCCATGAAATGATGTCTCAATAAAATAAATAAATACTGGTTGACCATTTCTGAGTTAAGAGCGTTATGAGTTTTATGTCATTCCTAGGTATTATTTCTTATTTGAAAGCATTTTTTCTTCTGATTTTACGAATTTGCGACCAACCAGGTTTTGTGTCTTTTTACAGCAAATCCTGAGCAGTGACATCATCATCCTGACCATCACACGCTGCATCGCCATCGTCTACATTTACTTCCAATTCCAAAACTTAAGACAGCTTGGATCCAAATATATTCTAGGTAAAATGTTGATAAGTGAATAACTTGTTTTTAAGGTGCATTCATCATTGAAACGATACTAGATCTTGTCATCTAATCGTCTACAAGAAGCTCAAACTCACTCTCTCCTCTGCTCTCCTGCAGGCATTGCTGGACTCTTCACCATCTTCTCCAGCTTCGTTTTCAGCACCGTGGTCATTCACTTCCTTGATAAAGAGCTCACAGGCCTGAAGTGAGAACAAATCCTCTTTATGTCCTACCTTTTTAATCAGTATTTCTGTTAAAGCTCCAGCTGATTGTTGTGTTCTGACCTGCAGCGAGGCTTTGCCTTTCTTCCTGCTCCTCATCGACCTCTCCAAAGCCTGCGCACTCGCCAAGTTCGCCCTGAGCTCCAGCTCTCAGGTATGAAACATTATTCATATTACAACAGTTCACATGGAATTCAACAGTCTACCTGGGATGGTAACTTCACTTTAATTTCCCAGGATGAGGTGAGGGATAACATTGCTCGGGGCATGGCGGTGCTGGGACCCACCTTCACTCTGGACGCTCTGGTGGAGTGTTTGGTGATCGGAGTGGGAACAATGTCAGGTACATGCAGTTATTCAGAGGGAAATTCATTTACTGAATAACGTCTAAGGTTTGCATTATGAGGGGTTTATTATCAGTTTTTTATCGGATTCACTGAGGTCAAGTATTTCTGAGAGCGAGCTAGTTCAAATAGAAAAAGTTTAAGGAGATTGCGGAAATTTAGGAATGAGGCAATATCTTTAAAAAGAGAAAAAAAGCAGGTCAAAAAAACATAATCTGTCTCCAGGTTGAAGACAAAACATCAAGCTTAGAAAAATGTCTCTGAAAGAGAAAACACAAGTATCAGTAAAATAACTCAAACTGCACTTCCATCAGTTTATAGAAACACTTCCTGCTCAGATTTGATCCCTGCAGAATGTTTTATTGAACAATGGCATCACTGGTGTTAAACTGTGTTTCAGTGCTCTTCTGTCGTTTCTCATCATTCATCTTTTTTGATTTCTTTATTTATAACTTCATTTAGCGTTTAGCTGCTAACTTCATACAGTACCGGATAGATGAACACTTTCACACAAAATGGCAGGAAGAAAGGCAAGGGGCACATATCTAGATATCCCAAAAAATAGTCCAGAGCTGCCAGTAGACAAATGCAATAAAATTAAAAAAAGACCACCCCCTCTATGAAAAAGGTCCTGGGTGGACAACAAACAACAAAACAGCCAAATCAGTCAAAGTTAGCAGAGAACACAGATAGAACGTAACCGCAAAGATCATCATTTGTACAGTGAAATCTTATCAAGCAGTGTCAGAAAGGGTTTCCAAACCTTAATGAAATAACCACGAGAGTTAGTAGTTTAGTAATTTCAATCTTTTAGCTGCATTGAGAGCCTGTTTTTGGTCGGGGGAAGGGACCTTGTCGAGTCAGAGCAGCCAAATATTGCTGGCTGAATGTTTGTTTCATCTTGTTTGGAAAACCAATTAAAACTTGTCACACCAGAAATGACTCAATACTGGAAAATGCCAGAACAAGTGCTGTACAACACCCATCACACACTACTCATCAATAATCTTTACTTATCAATATTGAATTGTTCATTCATTCTTTTTATAATAATGTGAAAATAAATGTAACCACAACTAAACTTCAAAATAACATGTTTACATCTCAAATTGTTATTTTCTGTGTAAGCTGAACTCGTAAAATGTTTAAAGGGCTCGCCATATAAAAGCGAGCTTTAACATTGAATTTTTTTCAGACGCAGAGCGTGTATGTCGTCGACAGTAGAAAGTGAATCCTCATTATCTGAATCGGTGTGTTTCAGGTGTGCGTCAGCTGGAAATCATGTGCTGCTTCGGCTGCATGTCTGTGCTGGCAAACTACTTTGTGTTCATGACGTTCTTCCCCGCGTGTGTCTCCCTGGTGCTGGAGGTAAGAGTGTGTTCTTACCTTTATATATATGTGTGTGTGTGTGTTGATATCAGGTTGATTGATCCCGGTGTGTTTCCTCCTGCAGCTGTCCCGTGAGAGTCAGGAGGGTCATCCTATCTGGCAGCTGAGTCACTTCTCCAGAGTGATGGAGGAGGAGGAGGACAACAAACCCAACCCGGTGTCGCAGAGAGTCAAGATGATCATGGTAACTCCTCTCTGTCTTTTTCTACATATGTGTTATTATTTAGAGTCCTTAAACTATTTTATATGAACCCTGAGTGTGACTCCTCTCTCTGCTCTTCTCCTGCAGTCTCTTGGTCTGGTGATGGTTCACGCTCACAGCCGTTGGATCGCTGAGCCGCTCTCCATCAACACCACCATGGACATCCAACAGGTGGGCATGCAGCTGGACCACCTTTCCCCCAGGAGGATCGAGCCTGCTACACCGCTGTGGCACTTTTACCTGACCAGGTGAGGTTAAGGCTCGTCTCTCTTGTAACTGCATGTTGTGCTGTCTTTTCTGCTTTGCTGTAGTGGAAGTGATGTCCTCAGGATTTAATCTGTTGTGACCATACGATCAGTTTTAAAGCGTTTTGTGTGCTTAATGTTTTCTTTTATTTAAGGGAATATCACCAAAATAAAAATGAATCGTGTAGAAGCAGCACTAGACCTGGACATCCCAGAAAAGACGAGTCAGATCAGTTTCTTCTCCACCATTATTGTTGACAAAGGTGATATCAGAAGTCCCAGCCCTTGATTTTTTTTTGATTGGTCAGGAAGGGAGAAATGACATCAATGCACACAGCGGTGCTCCAAAAGCTGAACTATTTGAAGTGACAGAGAGAGAGAGTGCAGTGACAAAAAACAGCTGACACCAAAGGCGTTTCTGTTGTCAGGACGCTGAGTGCTGAAAACGCTAAACTGTGTTGGTCCTGTATTGAAAATAGGCAGATAAAAAATAGGCAGTGGACACGGGCCTGTAAAGTTTGATGGGGCGCCAGTTTGCCTAGCGGTTAGGTCGTGCCCTATGTACAGAGGCTGTAGTGCTCTAAGAAGGCAGCAATGGTTCAAATCTGACCTGTGGCTCTTTTCCCTGCAGGATGTTGACCATGGACGTGGAGCAGATGATCTGTCTGCTGTTGGCTTTGATGCTGGCCATCAAGTACATCTTCTTTGAGCAGGTGGAGATGGAGTCCACTCTGTCCCTGAAGAACCCCATCATGTCCGCCCCCGCCCTCACCCAACGACGGCCTGTTGACACCTGCTGCAGGAAGGAAACACCTGCTCCAAAACCAGCGGCACTCGTCCAGCGTAAACCCGCCCCAACACCTGCAAATAAGACCGAGAGAGGTGAGAGTGAGCATGAGGATGAAGATGATGGAGCTGAGGTGGTCAAAAAGTTCAATACTATGAAACTAATCGATACCAAGTGTTTTAAAACAATACAAGTATAATCTCAGTTATATTTATGATCCATCGTATCAAAAGCTTGTGCAAAAGCTTAAAAAAATAAAAATAATAAATGATGCAGAATGGGTACCAACATTTTTGATATTTACTGTTCCTTTCCTAGTAATCTAAAACGATAAAATATTTGTAAATAAATGATCGTTGTTGAAAATGTTAAACACAGGTACCAACTTTGAAAATAATATACAGATCATCAGTCTTTTTTAACCTGAAGTTGGAGAGACCTAAATAGAGACAGCAGCAATGGTTCATTCAAATTTAAATACTGACATTTCTCTATTCCTTTTGATGTCTCATAAAGGTGCAAAAGTTACATTTATGTCTCTTACAAAAAGACAAAGTAGAGGAGGTGACACTGTGTGAATTTTACAAATACATTGGCAATGTTTTGTCACAGCAACTAAGTTTCCAAATATTGGATGCATAGGACAGGTACCATGAAGTTTAAAATTCTGTTAACATGACAACCCGTGGTGGAGCACATGTGGAGCACTGTGGTGTCTAACTCCACCTTCTCTCCGTAGATGAAGTGATCAGGCCCCTGTCGGCTCCTCCCGCTTATCCTCAGGTGAAGAGCGTCTTCGTCGTGGGGGAGGAACAGGAGCTGAAGTCTGAGAGCGATCAGCCGAGCATCAACACAAAGCCCCGAGACCTCGACCAATGTGTGTCCATCCTAAACAACCCTGAGGTAACACAATTAAAAATACGCCCTCCCTTCACTCACAACGCTGATAACCCCCCCCCCCGACTCAGGAAGCTGAACGATTACGTCACCTCGGCCCACATCCTGACTCCGTATTCTGCCAATAAGACGCTGTGTGGTTTAACTGGCCTTTAATGAGCTTAGTCCCTCCACTATCTCGGTGAGGATGAAGCAATTAGAGCGTGACGACTGTAGAAAAGACACTTTAAGTGATTCCTCTGGCTCCATGTGTGACCTCATATCCACCCCGCTCAGATCAGCACAGTCTCAGAACTCTTTTCAGGTTTTTATTACATGTTGACTTTATCTCTCTGACACAGCACTTTAACATTTCTATTATTCAGATATTTGAAATGGAAATGGTCCTGTTTATGTTGACCTATAGACATCATGCAAGGCAGACTATAATCTGTCTTACTCTTAAGTAATTGCGTCTTAGACAAATAAGTGTAAGCAGCGTAAGTGTAAATGCTCATGGCAGCCGAGCATCACTTTGACTCTGCGGCCAGGACAAATAAAACCCCACAGGTGAATAAAGCACTCAGTGTCTCCTCCTGATCACTCCGTGGTGTCTCTACTTGGTTTCTCTCCTCATACTGCTCTGTAGCGCAGTGGGGGAATAAAAGAGATGATATTTAGTCCATTATTGTGTGTCTGTCGCAGCTGGGTCCTCGTTTCCTTAGTGACGCTGAGGTGATGCTGCTGGTGAACTCCAAACACATCCCCGCCTACAAACTGGAGGCCATGATGGAGCGACCGGAGAGGGGCGTGGCCATACGTAGACAGATGATATCCGCCAAACTCCCCTCCCCCTCTGCTCTGTCCTCACTGCCCTTCACGGACTACGACTACTCCAAGGTAAACATACAGACACACAAACACACACACACACACACACACACACACACACACACACACACACACACACACACACAAACCCACGATTCCAGATTTGATCATTATTTCTGTTTTCTAGGTTATTGGCACCTGCTGTGAGAATGTGATTGGCTACATGCCCGTACCTGTGGGTGTGGCCGGTCCGCTGCATCTGGATGGGAAGCAGTTCCAGGTTCCCATGGCAACCACCGAGGGATGCTTGGTCGCTAGCACAAACCGCGGCTGTCGAGCCATTGCTGTAAGTGTCAGGTGTTGGTTTCTGAACATGTCGGTCGGGTTTACAGGAAAAAAAAAATTAAAAAAAATAATTACCTGCTTTATAACAGCAGTGTCCTATTTCATGTTGTTAAATGTCATCATTTTTCGTCTAAATTTTGGATACGTACCAAAAAAATGGTTTTGGAGTCTAGTGTGGTCATGAGATATTGTTAACTCTGCTGATAGAAATGTTTTGGAGGACTTTTCAGTTTTTCATCAGCCACTCCTTAAACCCTTAAAGATATAAAAATGGATTTACTTAAATTATTCGAATCTTCAATGATAATGTGAAGGCTCTAGTTTTTATTATGTGTCCCTCTTGCCTTTGTACTACAGCTTGGGGGCGGAGCCAGTAGTCGGATCCTGGCGGACAGCATGACTCGAGGCCCTGTTGTGCGGCTGCCATCCGCTTGTCAGGCTGCGGAGGTCAAAGCCTGGCTGGAGAGCTCAGACGGGTTCCAGGACGTCAAGGCTGCCTTCGACAACACCAGCAGGTAAAACATGACACCTGACGTACATGAAGATAAAATAACGGTCATGGTGACTTTGTGTGAAAGAGTGTGTGATTGATGTTTACAGGTTTGCCCGGCTCCAGAAGCTGCTGGTCGGTCTGGCAGGAAGACAACTCTACATCCGCTTCCACTCCAAGACTGGCGATGCAATGGGCATGAATATGATCTCCAAGGTATTGGAATGTGTGTTTTGTGTGTGTGTGAGTGTGTGTGTGTGTGTGTGTGTGTGTGTGTGTGTGTGTGTGTGTGTGTGTGTGTGTGTGTGTGTTTGCATTTTAGCAAGTCCTTAAAATATCAAGGGTCTTAGTCAGAGAATATTGCTACAAATGTGACACTGCTATTTATAGATGCACCAATATGAAATGAATAGGCTACAAATATCACATCAATAAGTCAAACATTTCTGAGACTCGACATGAATCTGTTCTTTTAACTGATCCATAGTATTTAAAAGTACTCAAACTAAAACTAAATAGTTAGAACATCTATTTTATAAGACAGGAGCTAATCCATCAAAAAAAATGATTTCTGTACAGAAATGTTGCCGACGTGCAATTTATGCAGGAATTTGCCTGCAAGATTTTACCCAGTATTGGAACTTTACAGGTATCATATTGAAGTATAGCATTCTGGCGTTATGAAAACCAGAAAAGTACACGACAGATTTTCAAATAATACGTGATTATATTGTAGCGCTGCAGATAAGGATTAAGGTTCTGTATGTTCAGAACATAAGAAAGAATAGAAGAAAAATACATTTTTCACCATGATGCCATCAATCAATGCAAAGTGCAAAATCATGCCGGGCTATGCACTTGCACACCTGTCCGAACACCTTCAATCTTGTTCCAGTGTATCTCAGATATGATAATGAGTGTGTTTTCCTCCCTCAGGGCACAGAGCAGGCTCTCAGCAGGCTGCAGCAGCACTTCCCTGAACTTCAGGTCATAGCCGTCAGCGGAAACTTCTGCACTGACAAGAAACCAGCCGCCATCAACTGGATCGAAGGACGAGGGAAGTCTGCCGTCTGTGAGGCCACCATCCCAGCTAAAGTGGTCAGAGAGGTACGAGAGCAGCTTGATGTTTGTTTGTTTTTAACTTAATTTTGCCAGTACTGTCATTAAGTTTCCCTGCTGGGGCTCAATCAAGTTTTCTAATCTAATCTAAAACGTTGCAAAGGTAAATCCAGATTCCATCAAAAATGTAAGGGTTAAATTCTCTTTCCACAAGGTCCATTAGCTGCAGTGTCTTCATAGCAGTCAGCCTGTTTCATATGACTTTTCTATCATAAATCTATTTTTCCTTCCTTGTTGCTACAGGTGCTGAAGACGTCGACGGCCGCTCTGGTGGAGGTGAACATCAGTAAGAACCTGGTGGGTTCAGCCATGGCAGGAAGCATCGGAGGAAACAACGCTCACGCTGCTAATTTGGTGGCTGCTATTTACATCGCCTGTGGACAGGTATGGAAGTATTTAAAGTAGATACTTCATGCTTTTATTGTGATGTGTTTCCTGTGTTAATATGTGTGTGTGTTAATGACTGTGTGTGGTCCAGGACCCAGCTCAGTCTGTAGGGAGCAGTAACTGCATCACCCTGATGGAGGCATCTGGACCCACGGGGGAGGACCTCTACATCAGCTGCACCATGCCCTCCATCGAGCTGGGAACTGTGGGAGGGGGTACCAACCTGCCCCCGCAACAAGCCTGTCTGCAGGTACACACATACACACACACACACACACACACACACACACACACACACACACACATGCTCACATGCTTCAGGCAACTGCAGGTAGGCGTGGAATAAATCCTGAGGGATTGTAATAACACAGTTATATTGATATATGTCAAATAGTTTTAGCATTCATTCAGAGTTCACCAGTATGTTGTGTTAAAAACCGAAGCAAACTTTTGCCCAACGTGATAAATGCAAAGCCTGAACTAAAACAAAAGTAAAAGTACATTTGAGGGAAACACTCTCATGTGGCTGTGTTGCAGTCCAAAGTCCAAAAAGAAAAGAAGCACCTTAAAAGTTGTCTGCTTGTCGTCTTGTGGACAGACCTGATGAATCATGGATTCAGACTTTTTACAAATCCTCACCAGGATGTAGTTATTTCAGAATCCTGTCAGCCCCTATTGTATCACAGTAAAACCTGTTTCATAGTGATGGTGTAAGACACATTTCAGCCGCCTGTAGTGGGATTGTTAGAGACATAGAAACTGTCACTCTGAGCAGACAGACTGACAGGAGCTCCACAGCTGAAGCTGAACTTCTGTAGTTGGTGTGCATCAAAGAAATCCTGGTACTAGAACTAAGACCTGGTCAACCTCAAGTACGTAGCTGGAGGCAGCAGGAAAGTTAATCCAGACACAGTTCATGTATCCTATGTTATGCAATATTTCTCTAACTTCCTAAAGTAGTAATTTGTGTATCTATGTGTGTACAGATGCTGGGTGTGCAGGGAGCCAGTCAAGACTGTCCGGGTGATAACGCCCGGCAGCTGGCCCGGGTCGTCTGTGGCACGGTTCTGGCCGGAGAGCTCTCACTGATGGCTGCTCTGGCTGCTGGACACCTGGTCAAGAGTCACATGACACACAACAGGTGAGAACAAGGGACCTGAATTCATGGACACACTGGACAGCCTCTCTATCAAACTCTACCAATCAGAACATTTGATGATGTGGATGTACTTGCATGATTCCTGCAGGTTTTTGGGTTGCATCCACACAATGTTGGATGCATTTATTATGAGTCACTTTATGCAAACATTTCAGCTAAATACAGGTAATGTAGTTTAATAAAAGGTTTTAGTTGAGGTGACAATTTTCAGTCACACATGCAGCTCACTCTGGAAATTTCAGCCCATTTTCACGAGATTTGTGCATGTGTGTGAAAGCACCATATGGTACACTTCTTTGAACACAATCTCAAGCTGAAGGAGAAAGTCTGTTCCAAATGTAAAATATCAGAACTGATCTTTACCGTCCTCAGGTCAGATCCTGACACTGAAGGAGGAGATCTTAAGCACACTGCTTCTTTCTTGTTTAATGTTTGTTTTAACAGGAACATTGTCACATTCATCTCACAGTTTACACACCGTTTAATGCATCAAATAATTAACTCTTCATAGAAACGTGTTTTCAGTTTGACTCTCATCTTTGTTATTGTGTGTGCAGATCCAAGGTGAACCTGCAGGAGACTCCGGGTAGCTGCACCACGAAAGCATCCTGAGAGCCTGAGAGCAGCTCAGCATCACAGGAGGACATATCAATCATGATGAAGACAGAACTCTGACATCTTCCAAGTGCTTTCAAAGAGTGTGTCTCCGGACCGATCTGTGTGCTGGAAATCAGCAGGATCCACACGAGCCAATCAGACTCTTGTGTGGGACTTATCTCGTTTCTTTTTCTTCTTCTTCTTCTTCTTTTTTTTTTTTTTTTTTTTTACAGAGCAGCTAAATTATTTCCACATTTAAGATGCTTTCTGCACAGTTTGGGATCATAAAACATTTCTGCTGTCCTGTTGCCAAATGAAGCTCTTTGAAAACGTTTGATGACTAAAGTGAGGATGTCTGAATGTGTGTCTCTGTAAACAACAGGGACATTAATGCTTCCTAAAACAGAGTTTTTGTTTGTTGGCTAAGCTTTCAGAAAGCAGCCTCACAGCTCTGGTCCTGGTCCAACCACAAGAAGAAAGAAACGACTCACTTTAAGAATGAGTAAATCAATATGAATAATGATGATTTGGATCCATGAGGCACTTTAAAACTCAGGCTGCAGCCTCTGTGAAAGGCTGAGTCACGTCTGTACAGAAACAGCAGGCAGGTTGAAAAGAAGGGAGAATAAAAACAGGATATTCAGGTGTCTGCATTGCTGATAGGGCTCTGCAACAAATCGTGAACCATTCATTTTGTGATTAAACTCTGAAATGATGATCAAGAGAAATTGAATCGCTCAGCCAACCTCTGCACTGTGTTTCCACACCAAAGGAAATACCTTTTTTAGCCCGTTTACTGCAGAAACATGAATGTTATATTTTCACTGTGTGCTGATGCAGACGTTCTAATTTAACCTGCATGAGCCTGCACTGCTGATGCTTCAAATATAATGTCATGTTTTTACAGATGTGGTGTGGGCAAAATGTATTCAGTCACAATAAGTCTGTTTTTTGTCAGCAGATGGAAAATATTTTGGATATATTTTGTAATAAACACAAAAGAACTTTACAATGACAGATTGTCCTGTTTTCATTGATGCTCGGAGTTTTCACAGGTTTATGTCAGTGTTTGTGGATTATTGATAACTCGGTTACATTTATAAATGGAGATGTGAGCAGTGTGCCCTCCCTTTTGCATGTTGGACTATAAACAAAAACCTCTACAATCAAATTTGCTCTTTGTATAGAGTCTGGGTGTGACTTTGACTTTCCTCTGAACATTATTTGCATTATTTAGTAAGAGAACAAATCATTAGAATTTAGAAGTAGTGAACTTGTGTGTGCAAAAAATTCCCCCCTGGCTCGTTTTTGCAGAACGACAAATAATTTATAGTCGTTTTAAAGGTGGATCCCCCACAATTCCACACAGTAAGATATGTAAGGAAGTATGAGTGAGCAATAGATCATGTGAAAAGCATTACAATGTAATTTATCTTTAGATTTATACAGAATTGCTATGACTTTGAAATGCTTCCAAAGTTTCAAAAGCTAAATTCTGTATCTTCACCGTGACGATATACTTGCAGTTACTGTCAAGAGAAGATTGAAGGAAATGTCTGACACCTGAACAGTATATTGAAAGCCCACCCTTTATGCATAAACATTGTCATTCATGTAAAACAACTTCTTAATGCCCTATAGATATGTTGTTATTCGAAGTTTATGAAGGGGAAACTCTGAAGTTAATGTCCTGGTAGCTGTAGAAGAAAGTCATGCAGACCCTAGCTCTTCATGAGACAGTATTCACTCAGCATATGATGCCATCCCTCGTCATACCATTGAACACAGGGACACGATGTGATAAATGAGTGATAGTTATCGACAGGTGTAGAAACTCGTGTGTGTTGGTGAAAGTGTCTCGTCTAACAAGATTATCCAGCTTTAACTTTCTCCTCCTCTCATCGTCTCACAGGGTCTCAGTCAGAAATCCTCCACTGATCTGTCACAGCTCAGCCTCACCAGAGCAGCTGTCGGCCAATCAGACGCCAGCCCAACTCATCTCACCAGCTGTGAGGCATCTGATTGGCTGAGGGCTGCAGGACCTCTGCACCGTCATGAATAATGTGAGCTGCTTTATAGTGAGGATGTTAACTTACAGAGCGGTGAAGAGCTGAAACACACACACACACACACACACACACACACACACACACACACACACACACACACACACCTGTTTGAATGAGTTCATGAGACATCAGCATGGACACACAGTGTGTACACAGTGTGTACTGTGTGTGAAACTGTGATTACAGATGTAAAAAATGTAAAGCAGTGAAAAGCAGAACCATCAAAACACATAAATTAAGACCTTCTATCAGCATTATTTCTCTAATTCACCTCTGAAACCCCAGAATAGTGAAGATTTGTATTTTCCTTTTAAATATGTCTGCAACACGCCTCTGATACTGAAAGATTTTTTTCATACATACATAATCAAAACCCTATAACTTAAAAGCCTTAAGGATTCAGTGTTATAAATCTATATGGTTACCACATATGTTTTACTGTTATCTACAAAAGGCAAGCACCAGTTTATAATGAATTAATGAATTACTTGTTTAAATAGATACAGTGTTCATATGCAATACAGAATTTCATTATTGTTGTTTATTTGTTATTTTGATTTTTGTGGAGTATCTAGGAGGACAGTTGTTTAGTTGCCTCATTTCTTAAATTCCTATATCTATTGTTATGGACCAAAACAGAAACACACATTCCACATGTGCAAAACTAATGTGCAATCAATTTGATTCTGGTGATTCAACTTTAAGAACTTATTGTTCTATAACGAGATCTATTCTAAAATTGCTGCTGTTCATTCCTCTGAAATACTGAAGCACTCATTCTTAAATAGCCTCCATGAGAATATATCTGATTGTTTGTCAATAAAATCAGATTCAGATTTGAGATCATTCCCAGGTTGTTGTTTTTTCCATATACAAGGAGTTTGTTTTGTTTTTGGTGCAATAAACGATGAACAGAAAATTAGAATACAGATGCAAGGCTTATGAACAGCAGTACTCCTACTGTCAGGGGTCAGGGTTCTCAACCCTACTATTATCTTTGGGGTCAATGTGACCCCATTCAATGTTTAACGTCTCTCAATGTGCTGTACACATGTTGTACACATCAGTGTTCTTTGGGGTCAATTTGACTCCAGGCTGTTTTAGCTGTTTACTGTAAATGAGGTCAAATAACAGTTAAACAATATTACAATACAACAAGTGTGCACATGAGCAATGAGAAAATGTAAAGTTAAGGAACAGAATGATCTTTATTGCAAATATATGTTGAATGGTAAAGAATTAAAGACAGCGATAGGTTTTTAAAAAATACTTAGAAAACAGTTCAAACTGTAAACATGAGCTCTCTCCTCAGGAAACATTGACACATTTTTGCTTCATTTATTGTTATGCACCAAAATATGAAGACAAATTCTGTTGATGCACAAATCTGTCAAACAATGAACGGGATTCTGATGACTCAGAATAGCACAAAGCAAGTGTCATTTAAAAAGTAGCTGTCATGAGTAAATGCCTGATTGTTTTGAGAGAGTTCTGAATGTATCATAACCCTTTTATTGTGTTGGTATGTCCGGTTCAGGCAGAAGGTAAGGACCCAATCACAGATGGTAACAAGCAGCTTGGTGAAATCCATGGTGCATTTCAATGCTGACAGGCAGAGATAAGATGTGACAGGTCCAGGATTAAGGTGCCAAAAAGAAGTTAAAAAAAGGCACAACATGTCCCCCTGACATGGGGACCGGTGAGAGTATGGGGGTGGTGATGCAATGAAACAGCAGGGTTGATTGTTGGAACAGGGAACAGAGGATGAAGGACAGGAAGTGGAGTCTGAGGACATCTGGTGGAGAAAAGGACAACAGCAGAATAGCTGGACAGACGAAAAGGACACGTCTGAAAAAAAAAAACACCTTCCAGCTGTGTTATGCCTCTAAAGTACATACAAGTCATCTTTGGTTATTATAAATGTATCATAAAATAATGGACAATTCACAGATACTTCAACAAATGTGAATAAGGCCCGTCCACTCTTTCATGGTCGTCTCTGATCGTTTTTATAAATGAAATTGGAGGGATTTAAATATCACCAGGGTGATGAAAAATTGAGCAACCGGACAATGAATTCAGCTCCATAAAAAATGAAACTGTAATGTCTAGTTAAAATGCTTACATATTACTCTACATGGTAACACTTTATAATAACCATCATCTATAAAGTTAATTAACTTTAGTAAATAGTTATTTTACTGTTAATGATGAATGAAATGATAGTTCATGATGTTTGCTAATTATTTGAAATGTTATAATTTATGCTATGTTAACAGTTTATTGATGTACACATTATTACATTTTATAATCTATATAAAGTGTTTGTTAATAATTACTGAATACAGAATTTAATTTCAAAGTGGTTTTACACACTTAAACCAGCGCTCACATTTGACATGCATAAAGAAGCCTGACTCTACTCTGCTCTACTCTCTTTTCAAATTGTACTTTTCCAACCTGTCTTATAATGATGATTATTTTTTACTTTATTTTAAATGAAATTGCTTTTTTGTGCTTAAAAAAATATATACTGGTATTTCATTTATTGTTTATTACTTGTATTCTGGTTTTACATTTTTTTTATTTCTCTCTCGTGGGATTCATAAAGTATAAATCATTATTATTAACTATTTGTATTCTGGCAAAAACTTTTGCAAGCCATTTTTATATGCCAACGTTTTTTTGAGTAACCCTAAAGAAAATGTTACATTTGTGAATTTAGCTGTAACACCCCATAAAGTGAAACTCTTTGAGATATTCCTCACCTCTCCACTAGGTGGCAGTGTGACTCATGAACATGATGTTGCGGCTGAACGAGCGGACACAGAGGAAGAGAAGACAGGACGCCGGTGTGGATGAACTTTTGAGGAAGATAAACACGCAGACAGCCGACCATGATGTCTTTTAATAAAACTCGTTCTGTATTTCCACACATCTGTCACCTCGTAAACTCAAACATGGCGACGGCGCAGAGAACCAGGAGCCTTTATCACCAGGTGACGTTATCAAGCTACGTCTGCATGTAGATGTTACATAGCTAACCTCTGCTAGCTGTAGCACTAAATGCTAGTTATCAGACTGTTACACGGTTCATCATTAACACTGACATTATAACTGTGTGTTATTGAACATTTCAGCTCAGGAGTCTGTCACACCTCACTGGACTTCCTCCTCTCACTAAACACACTCTGCATCCCATCTGTCAACCTGCGCACAAAGTAAGTTCTGCCAAACTCCATTGAGAAATGGGACACTTTTTTCTTTTTCTTTCTTGACAACAACAAAAATGCTTCAGGGACTTTTTTTAGTCCTTTACACACATTGTTAGGGGGTTCGGCTTAATTCTGCCACATATAATGTATAAAGTCAATATAAAGTCAAAATGAGTGAAAAATAGAGCTGTCACATGCTGATCCAAATGATGACGTTTCATGACGTCATTGAGCGGAGAATGAAGCATGAGCTGCTAAATGAATGAAACATGTTAGTTATAGCAGGTTAAACGTTTCAGGTCACCTGCCATCATGCCAGGTCAGGGTTGTCATTATATCAGATTAGATACTAGTGAAAATCAAACAGTATTGATACCTGTTTCAATACCTCGCTAACTAACATAGACATCCCAGGCTGTCGAAAAGGTGATTTCTTGTTTTCAATGATCAAAAATGGCAGGAAAACACCAGCACACTGTCTAAATGTTTGTCAATGACTTTGTACAATTTAGAGCAGGAGTTTGTCTGCAATTTCTGATAGTTTTATTCTTCTGCTACACATCTGTCTTGTGAAATAGATGTAGTGTTTTGAAAAGCTTCAGTACTTTTTGTTACTATAAATCATTTAAATAATACAGACGGTATCGTTTTAAATCGTGTGGTATCGAAAGAGTATCATAGTTTTGATAACCTTAGGCCACATGTATGTGTTTCTGTAAATTATTATATTTAAAGCATGTTTAAATGAATAAAAACATACATATTTACCACAGACGTTAAACTGTTATTATTAGTATTTATACTAAACTTACCACTGTCTTAGTTATACCATTTTTATTAGTGATGTAATAATACAATCCACTTAGGACAATGTATTTGTCATGATGCAGGGTTCACAATTCATGGATTTTATCATGATTTTGAATGGTCTTCCAATTTTAACAAGAAATTAGGCTGAGGGTAATGTTTTTGAGTTCTCTGACAAACTTGTTTTCTGTGTAACTATAAGTCATACTTTTTGATTTGAAGTTAATAATCAAACAATACATATTTTTGTGCCTCCAATAAATGCTGCTGCTTCAGCTACTGATGTCAAACAAGAGAGAGAGAGAGAGAGAGTGCCCTCTGCTGGTTAAAAAAAAACAAATATTGCAAAATGTATTTTTGTCAAATCCATTTAAATTGTTTCCATTGATTTTAATGTATTGTGAGGTGTTTTTAAGCCCTGTTTTCACCAAGCGGTCAGGTTTTTGTTTAGAATTTAGACACCAGCTGATGCACTTCTGATGATCAGCAGCCAGTCCCTGTTGTTTAATCTCTGACCTCTGTGTTTCTGTGTCAGTGCTTACAGAGCAGAGTCCATGCTGTTAGCTGTAGGAAGAACATCCACCTGACAGCACCGAGGCTGGATAAACCTTCACCTGGGCAGATAAGGTAGCACACAGTTGTTGTTTTTTTACCCAGCTTTGCCGTCACTAGCGCTGAATGGTTTAACTCAAACATGACTTTGTGTGTCTGTCTGTCAGGGAGCTGTCAGAAGCAGAGTACGAGAAGCTGGCAGATGAGACGTTGGACGCTCTGGCTGATTATTTTGAGGACTTGATGGATCAATCTTTCACTGGAGAAGACTGCGACGTCATCTTCTCTGTAAGTCAGTCTGTTCTCCATAAAGGTTTCTGACTGTAATGTTCATATTTTTTATGTTATATCAACAGTGAGAGGAAGCCAACAGGTTTTAAGGTCTGGGTCGAGAGACGAGCTAATGATCAAAGTTCCACAAGTAAACAGTGTTTCCCCTACCATTATATTAGGGGGGCGGCCCGCCCCCCCAACGGACCTGCAAACCTAGGGGAAACACTTAAATCTTTAGTGCTGCACACATCTGGAGAACCTCAGAACACACATTAAAACTCAACACGATTGTTACCATGGGTCATTCATCACAAACTACTCTTGTGATGAATATAAATGTTTTAACTGTAGTTTAGCTTCTCTACTTTTTTTTACATTTTCCTGTTTTTTTAAATAATTATTTTAATTATTGCTCACTTCGTTTTTGTCCTCTCCTCTATTTGTTTGAAATCTACTCTCAACACACGTGAGACAGCTTTGCCTCAGTGATGAAAGATGAATGAATGGTTCTTTTACACCTTAAATATGGGCAGTATATTGATCATATATTATACTGCATATGTTTCTTGTTATTTTAAGAGCTATCATTGAACCTGTTATATTAAAACCTTTTTATAGTGTAAGAAGTAGATTCATTGAGCTCTTTCACTTTCAAACTATTTCAATAATATTCTAAACTTTTAGGTATTAGAGGAACGTTTGTCTGGGTTGTTCTCGTCTGCTCTGTTGTGATTTGTTGTAGATCCTGCAGCAGAGGCTTTGCAGCCCGTTGCTCCTCTGTGCTCATCATTTGTTTTCCGAGCCGACATGTTGTTCAGCGGCTGTAACACCCTTATTGATTTCTTTAACAGCAGGACTAACACACTCAGAAGTATTTCTACAGCCATCATGTGGCTATCCCTAGAATATATGGCACAGCAGTACTGTCTGTTTAGTGCTAAACGCTGAGACCAATCAAAAAGGAATTACAGAGACAGATGGGAAATGAATGACCATTATATGGATTTTGCACTGAGATGACTAAAACGGTTCTCAGAAGGCTGATTTCAGGAAATTTATGACATGCGGCCAGCGTTCAATATTACTGCAGTGTTACCAGAGTGTAATGTTATTGTCAGCAAAGTCAGCAATTTAGTAATATCGTATACTCTGAATGTCCCCAGCATTAAGCAGCACTGTATGCTTCAGTTTGGAGGGGTAGAGTTTGGAGGGTAACCAAGTCGTGTCATACTTAGTTAGAAGAAAAGGATTGGGTTTACTAGGAAAATCAAATGTTGTGATTAGGCCTGCACAATCTGAGAGAAAAAGTGTGATGTGTAATTGCATTGCTTAGTATAGCTTTAGCTTATCTAAATCTGACTACATGGGCTCCATCCTATAGTGAAAATGTACACGTGCAGAGTGAGAGCATTACTTCTTTAAGTCAAATCATTTTCATTGAGCCTCATATTGCGGGTTAGGTTGCCATTGTATTTATTTTTTGTGCACCTTTAGTTCTGATATGATTTTTCCTTTCTGATGATGATTTCTAAACCTGAAGTTGTGATTCAGCCAGCACTGAGTACTATTCTGACAGGAAGATCTCTTATGAACTCGATAGGTAAATGTGACCAGCGAGTTTCTGACAATATGCTGTAGAGACAGACGTTTTCTAACAGGGATCTGTACGGTCATGATGCTGGTTTCTTTCACAGTAAACAAAAACTTGAGTTTGCAGTCAATTCTAATATTTACTGATAATTCAGAGAACTGTAGAGGAACATCGGGCTTCATGATCAGACTAAGTTTAAGTTTATCACATCATCTCTTCAGTCTGTAATGACTGCTCGCTTTCTGCTGCTCGGCAATATGATCACAGGTCTCTTTGTCTGATGTTAGATCTGATTCTGCATCATGGTTTGTTTTCATCAGTGATTTTTTTTAAAAGGATAATTAAAGTGAATGAGGCTCCGCTATTCAATAGGAGCACCGTTTGTTCATGAACGGCTGTGAGCTTACCTCTACTTTTAGTACTGACCAATCAGGTTTGAGTACTAAAAAAAGATACTTTTTTTTATACATAAACCTGACGTTAGCATTTGGCTCAAATAAAAACTTTTGTTCAGGATCTTAATGATTTATAGCTTTATTTAAATGAACCATTAATGACATATGAGTGTTATGAAGTGTTGTTTAGATGCTGATTCTATTTTTGAGTGTTGTCTGCCACAGATTGACGTATGACCAGAGGCGTGTGTGTGCGCGTGCGTGTGTGCGTGCGCGTGCGTGTGTGTGTGTGTGTGTCTCTGTGTGTGTGTGTGTGTGTGTGTGTGTGTGTGTGTGTGTGTGTGTGTGTGTGTGTGTGTGTGTGTGTGTGTGTGTGTGTGTGTGTGTGTGTGTGTGTGTGTGTGTGTGTGTGTGTGTGTGTGTGTGTGTGTGTGTGTGTGTGTGTGTGTGTGTGTGTGTGTGTGTGTGTGTGTGTGTGTGTGTGTGTGTGTGTGTGTGTGTGTGTCAGCCTGTCCTTATTGATGTGTCACACTGAGGTCTGATAGCAACAGCTGCTGAAGCCGTCTGCTTGACTGATCACCTGATGAATAATATCAGAGAGAGATTGTGCTGCACACATGTTTCGTTGTAAGTATGTGTCTGCATGGGAGGGGGTCAAAAGGTGACTTCCTGTCCCCCTCTGTGTGGGTGTGTGGGTGTGTCTGTGTGTTAAGGTTGTCAAAATTTCCAAAACTTCTTCATATCATGTCTGTATGCAACGATACCTTGCGATACAACAAATATACGGTAAAGCAATGCTGTTTTTTTTTTAACCAGCAGAGTGCGCTATCTGCTTTACACTTCTCGATGTCTCTCTTGTTCTCTTGTTGTACTGCTGAAACAATACTACTTAACAGTGTCCCTTTTTTAAAATATTAATTGTTATTTAACTAACTAAAACCTCAAAATTAAATTATATTTATTTTATTTATGAAGAAATTAAGAAAAAAATATATTATTCATTTTTATTGTCAGAGATTTGGAATAAAGAAAATCATGTTTAATCACAAATTTACTTCAAGCTAATGTCTTGAGATGTTTCTAGAAAAAACAGTAAAATAGAGGAATGAATGCATAAACATTGCAAATAAACTCCTGCCCACTGTCTAAACTTTGGCAATGTTTAAACACTGTAGTGTTTGCAATTTTGACTGTGCAGGAGTTTACTTGCAATTTTTGGTAATTAAAGATGAGAGACGATCCAATATTTGGTGCCTAGGACTTCTATTTTTTTTTTGCTGTGGTATCGAACAGGTATTGATATTGTTTGATTTTTACTAGAATCATATCGAAGTTTAAAAAACTGGCATTGTGTTTATCGGACTCCACAGATCCATGTCGTTGTCTCAGGACAGACTCTGTGTCCCCCTCTCCCCTCCTGTAACATCTTCTTCCTCCCTGTCAGTGCTCCGTGACAAGGTGATTAATAGAGCTGTGTGTGTGTGTGTGTGTGTGTGTGTGTGTGTGTGTGTGTGTGTGTGTGTGTGTGTGTGTGTGTGTGTGTGTGTGTGTGTGTGTGTGTGTGTGTGTGTGTGTGTGTGTGTGTGTGTGTGTGTGTGTGTGTGTGTGTGTGTGTGTGTGTGTGTGTGTGTGTGTGTGTGTGTGTGTGTGTGTGTGTGTGTGTGTGTGTGTGTGTGTGTGTGAGAGAATCATTGTGGTTGGACAGCGGCTGTCTCTGCTCGCTCTGACTGATTGGCCAGTGTTCCGATCTTGGCAGCTGACCCCTTTTTCGACCGTCTGCAGTGACATATGGGGCCATAAACAACACACACACACAGACAGACAGACAGCAGTGACTCGGCTGGCTAAATAAAATCCAGTCATAGTCCTTCTTACCGCAGAGTGTCAGAGAGTAAATCTTTATGCAATAATCCAGAAACACTCCTTCACTCTTCACCTCCTCTTGCTGTTTGTTGTTTTCAAATCTAAAGGGCAACACTCTGTCTTCAGGACGGATGTATGATCCCTGTTACAGAGTAGCTCCAATGAGTTAGCATGCCTACAGCAAAGTTTATCACCTCCTTAAATCATAAATGAGTGAGTCTTTAATGTCTGTCTTTGTGTAGATAAACACAACCTGCTATATCAAGATAAGACACATGTATAAAAAGTTACATGAGTATGAAAGTAATGTGATTATCAACAGTAGTATTGACGGTTCAAACGCACACCCAGGCTCTGTCAATGTAAGCTCCAGGTAGTGACCTCACCGATATTACAACACAACAAATCGTAAAGTTTTGGTATTTCAGTGTGTATGGTGACTTTGTTTTAAACATTTCTTCTACCTTTCTGGACTAAGAACATCAGAGCTTTTTTCCTTGAAGGGTCCGAGCCGTCTGTGTTTTCTCAGGAGACTCGGGTCTTTTAATGTCTGCAGACCCATGCTGCAGATGTTCTACCCGTCCATTGTAGCCAGTGTGATCGTGTACGCTGTAGTGTGCTGGGGCAGCAGGCGGAAGGCTGTCTCGTCTGTTCTAATATAATGTTCATACACACAAACAGAAGCCATGTGTTCAGATGGGCCTCAGCTGGTCGGCTCAGACCTCAGACAGGAGCTTGACACGCCGTCTGGCGTGATTCCTCCCTGATCTGTCTGAGCACACACACAAACTGCACACGCAAACCACACGCTTCCTGAGTGAAGGTGTGAGGTCATGTGTGGGTCAGGAGGAGGAGGGCGGGGATATGTTGTGTGATACATTTGAAGTTTGTATTTTTTACCATTAAGGTCTGTTATTGAAATGGTTTGTTAAATACGTGTGTGTTTGTGTGTGTGTGTTGTGTACAGAGCGGTGTGTTGACGGTGAAGCTCGGCGGGGACCGCGGCACCTACGTCATCAACAAACAGACTCCAAACAAACAGATCTGGCTCTCATCGCCCACCAGGTAACCCCTTTTTTCCACATACTCCCTGCGCGCCACGGTCTGTCAGCGCCGCACACTATTCCGCCGTTCGCTGCCACTCTAGTCAATAATTGTGTTTCCACAGCGGGCACCTCGGCCCGTCTCCGGATCGTGCCACCAGCGCGTCAACTCTCTGCTCCTTTTCAAATACCTTGCGAGTCTATTTTCGACGAGTATGCTGCAGGCACACGTCAAGCTAGACAGTATAGAACGACCCGGACAGAAAGTCAGACAAGGAAACGCACAGAGTGTCTGGTCAATTTCACAATACAGACTCGCGGTCGTACTTTCCATCACATTATCAACATAATGTCAAAACAGGCACCAAACGAACAACAGAGCTACCTCAGAAACATGTTGCTTTGAACAACATTCAGTTTATGTTTCCTTGGAAGAGGTTTAGAAAAAACATCCTGAGAAAATAAGTTGAACTTCACGACTGATCCTGTTTAAATCAGTGGGAAAAAAAAAGAAATCACGACAGCTTTTCTTCTTTTTGCAGCAGAAAGCCCAACACTCCGGTCTTTATCGTGCTACGTTTGTTGATTACACTCTGCGATAACACGAGACAGAAGCAATCTTACTGCCGGAGATTACATTTTTGGCGTGATCCTGTTTGATCTAAAACATAAACCCTCAGATGACTTGCTTAACCTTTAGATGGTGCAGATTTTTTATAAGCATTTCAATACCCTCCATGGAATGACATCACAATAAACCAGATATGAATAAAGACAGTGATGGACCATTTCTATAACAGAGACCAGAGAGTTAGGGCGCACTCAAACTGACCTCCAAACTCCGGTCTGTTTAACTGGTGTGAGTGCTCCGTTATGTACTCTTCCTTGGCCCGGTTGGGCTTCGGCACATTATGGTTGCCCATGCACAAAAACAAGCACGGTTATGTAATGTGGACGTGATGTGTAGCCTAATCGATGATAGTGGTCCTAACAGTCATTTCAAACAAAGGCATCAAAGGCTGGTGGAGTGCTTACTTGATATTTGGCTGGACACGAATATTCAGTCAGCTGTTTAAAACCCACAAGAGCTCATAAGTCTTTGTTGAAAATCCATGACTATCTAGAATTACAACGTGACGGCGTACTGTCGCTCGCTTTCTGGAGCAATGTGAGTGAAGGCCAGCAGGGGGCAGGAGAGGGAGGACAATCATGCTTCTTCACAGTACAGGGAATTGGGCCTAGTGTGAGTGCGGCCTGTGTGGAAAACTTTTGGTCTTCTCAGTGAGTTTCATTAAGTTTGTAACATAACTCTCAACAGGTTTAGTGCTTAGAAATATAATTTTATTTGAAAACAAATCCAGAATAAGAATTTAAAATGACAACTTTTCCTCTCTTCTTTTCGTCAATCAAAATGTGCAATACTCTTCAAATTGTTCTTGCTCCTAATGTCTTAATATACTTCACATTTTTTTTATACATATAGTGTTGTATGAGAGCTACTGGAACATTCACTTTTCTCCTTGTGATTATTAATAATTTCCGGTTCTGATTTTTCTCTTTCAGTGGACCGAAGCGTTACGGTTGGACGGGTGAGCGTTGGGTTTACGCACACGACGGCGTCAGCCTCCATCAGCTGCTCTCTGCAGAGTTTTCACTCATCTATGAAAGAAACATGGACCTCTCTGAGCTGCTGTACTCCTGAGAAAAGACACCTGATGAGACACACACACTCCTACAGAATCACCTGTGTGACACCTGAGACCACCGTTAGACCACAATTAGATCACACGGGAGCCAAACACATATATGACCTATATAACATCACTTTTAGACAGCCGGTGAATATAATGACAGTGATCTGTGTGAGCTGTTCTGTCATCTTTATTGTTCTCTGATTAAGTGTTTGACCTTTTGATTTTAAGGTAATTATGACACATTCTCATGAACTATAAAATAAATAAACTCAGTCTCCATAGCAACCCTTCAGCTTCCGTCCCCATCCACACAATCATCATGAGACTTTTTACACACCTCCTTGTTCCAATGTTTGTCACAACCGGGGGAGTTTTAGCAGACTTCAGTTTGACTTTTGGACGAGTGCCTTATTTACTAATGGGTTTTTCTTAATACATATGAAATATATAATATGCAACATTCTCAATTTTAATATATCAAAAATCTATATATATATATCCTATGTTGGTAATCCCAAACTGGCGGCATGCGGGCCACTTCAGTCCCCCCCAAAGCTTCCCATCCGACCCCCAGAATATAAATTATTGTGGGTGATTAAGCAATAAACATAAAAATCAAATCACATGGCGGATATACTTTCATTATGTTAATGCTAGAAATTACATTTCCCCTCTCACATCAACTTCTGAACATCAGGTTGTCAGCTGTCAGGCTTACGTGAAAGCATATTTTAAAGTCCGGCCACCATGTGTCCGTCAAGAAAGAAGCTGGTCCTTGTACTAGTTTAGTTGATGACTCCTGCCCTATGTACAGTTTATATAGTGTGGAGTAATGACTTCCTATAAAGACAGTGAAGTCAAACTCCCTGTAGGTTGTTGTTCTCAGCTCTGTGTTCACACTGACTGGACGTTCCCTGAAGCATAATGATGGAGCGTTGTCACGAGAGTACAAACTGCAGGAGAACCAACAGACTGTCCAAACTGAAGAGGGGGGGTCGGGGCTGGGGAGAGGGAGAGGGATGAGGGATGAGGGAGGTGTGTCCAAAGAGAGCGTTTGTTTTGGTCTGTAAATCTGCTCTGAAAGTGGCATAGTAAGCCTTTAATGCACATGTTTTCACACCAAAGATTTCACAAGAAGTGTAAATAAATAGAAAATCTGTTTTTTGTTAAAATATTTATTTCATAGTTTTAAATGTAGTGTCGACATATTCTCTCATTACTCTCAGATATCTGATCAGTCTGTAAAACGAACACAGCACTTAGCACACAGCTAACGACCTAATGCTAAATGTATGAAGGTTACTGGAGCACAACATTGTTCACGTTTGTCACTGATGCATTCAAGATAAAACGGTCATTACAGCATGTTACTGTCACTGTAACTATCCAAACAGTTCTAGTCATTTCTTTTTAATGAGGTCATTTGATTTTCAGAACATTTTGAACAGATGAGTCTAAAAGAAGGATTCATGAAACCTGCAGCATTTATAAAATAAACTGTATCACTGCAGAAATGGGAAATAACTACTTAGATTTATTTGGTTTAGTACATTTATGTCATCAATCATTTCTGTTATTATATGTGGTGTTAAGAATATTATATTTGTATATGTTTGAATAAAAAGCTTTTTTAGAGGCAGGTCAGCGGATGGAGTCAGAAATTGGGAAGATAGAGAGAGAGTCGGTGGGGGGGATTACATAGAGGAAAGGAGTCACAGGTCAGATTCAAACCCGGGACGCCCACTTGGAGGCCCACAGCCTCTGTACTTGAGGTGTACCGGCATCCCAAGAATATAATATTTAGACTTTGAAATTGAACAGTTAATGTTATAATGTTAATGAAGAATCACCACAGACACAGCAAAGTTAGGACAGATTTAAAGATTCATTTTTGGGCTTTTAATTGAGAGATAGGACAGTGGATAGAGTCAGAAACCAGGGTGAGAGAGTGGGGAATGACATGTGGGAAAGGACTTGAACCCGAGCCACCCGCTTGAGACTACAGACTGCATACATGGGGTGCACACACTAACCACTGCGCCACCAGCGCCCCAGGACAGATTTAAGAACTTTTCCACTAACTAATGTACTGAATTGTTTCTTGAACAATAATCCTTAAAGTTGACAGGTTCTGCTACATCAAAGAGCTTTAACAGACCATGGACTAACAGAAAATACAAATAAATATATATATGTATAACAAATATAAATGATAAGCTCTACAGCATGTGTTAAAGCTTTTTGCTTTATCTCACTTCTCACTTACGAAGGCTGCTTAAAGACCATAAAAAAAGCAAAAAAAAAAAACTTTACGACCATAATAATGAAAATAATGATTCACTTTAAAAGAAGGACTTTCTCTGAATACTTTTTTTTCTTCACTCTTATTTGTCTTTGAAATCCTGTATCTTTATTTGTCATTTTTCTTTTTCATTTTTTCTTCCTTATATTTCTCTGTATTTTGTTTTGTGAAGCACTTTGTGATAAAATGCTATATAAGTAAAGTTTATGATTGTTATTATATTCATTTCACAGTGTGGTAAGAGTAATCTTATTACTTCCACCCCTGAAATAGCCATAATAACATTTTAGTATTTCATAAGGCTTTAAAGACCGAGTTGCTCAGTTAATGCTCATTGTCATGTTGGCCTCTCATATCTCTGATGCTTTCATAACACACACACACACACACACACACACACACACACACACACACACACACACACACACACACACACACACACACACACACACACACAGGCTCCTCCTGCTCTCTGTCTGCAGCACACACTCATTTCTCCTCTCTCCTGCTTGTATCTTGACCACGCAGTAACCTCCGGTGCTGAAAAATTAAAGTCAATGCAAAAGTTCAAAATCCTGCAATTCTTATTAATGTACAACATGTGATATAGCCCATACATGCTATTTAACATAAGATATGTGATGACACATTTTTCTTATGTTTATGTGCACATCTATAACAACAGGCAATACCTGCAAATGTACATTTTTTATTTACAGAAACAAAAAACACAAAAAAAATACAATCATACACAACTACGTCCAGGTTTATCAGGTGCCAGTTTGAATACATATGGCTGATTTTTAAAAGCATCATGAGAAGCTGTAAAGTGTATATGTGTAGGAAGAGAGTTTCAAAGTATCAGAGCCACAAATTCAAAAACACATACATATGACTGAAGACATCTCAGTCTCAAATTACACTTTTAAACACACAATCACTCAATCAATCAGAAGTTATTTGAACAGCACTTTTCCTACACATTTAAGACAACACAAACTTAACACACACACACACACACACACACACACACACACACACACACACACTGTCCATCACAGTTCAGCCTCTGGTCACACGTCAATCTAAAAAACACTGTCAACAGTAAATAAAGAGACAGTTTAAAAGAATTCAAAAATCTTAACTTGTTATAAACCTGCATAGAACCCAAGAGATGAAAAACAGATACATACATTATTATATTGATAGATTTAATAACACTCAATTTAATAAGATATAGATGGACTTAGTTTGATTCAAAAATATGAACTGAAGAGGCTCGTTGGTCTGCACATGAAGCATTATAACAATTAAAAAAACATCTTATCTCACAAATATCTGATTACACTTAATATAAGTCACAATCACCTGAAAAGATTTTTTAAGACATTGAAAACCCAATCTAAAAAGGCTGGGACACAGTCGTGTTTACTGCTCTGTAACATCAGCTCTTCTTTTAACAACTCTGTAAACGTTTGTGAACTGAGGATAAACTGTAGACGATGAAATCCACACATTCTTTGCAATTTTACATTGAGGAACATTTTTTCTTCAATTGTTGCACTATTTTTCAGCACAGCCTTTCACGGAGCGTCAAAACCTACACCACCTTTACTTCAGATAGACTCTCAGAGGCACTTTTACCCAATCATGTCACTAACCTGTTGACAGTCAACAGATTAACTGTGCGATGTTCCCCTAGGTGTTAATCTTAAATCATTTCACAACTTCTTTTGCTGCTGCTGTCGCAACTTTTTTGAATGGTATTTTGAACGTTTATGTTAACCATCTCTTTCTGTTTTTTATTGACATTTTACACAATATCCCAACTTTTAAAAGAAAAAAATTGTAAGATTTCACACAAGAAACATCTGTATCACAGCTGATTAAATGTAGTGTGTATTGCAATTTCAGATTTAAGTGTCCAACAATATACTTATTATAAAATAAGAACAGGTAGTAGCAAAAACAAACTGTTCACATGTTCATACGTGTGCATGAATGTTGCTCCTGTATTGTTGACTTCTTCTTTGTCCTGTTCATGCTTTAGATCATTACTGTCTGATATCTCAAATGTTCTTTACGTTAAGGAGAAGGTTTACTGATCGTAATGGACTTCTTATTTATTTTTTACACAGAATGTATTTTAAAATGTCCGATGATGAATTCAATGTCTCAGTTTTGACCATCCAGCTGATCAGCCGATCCTCTGGACACGGTCCTGATCCTGGATCAGACCGGCCTGACACAGTCTGACTGCAGGATCAGTGAGAGCTCAGGCTGCTGGAACCACACACACACAACACACACACACACAACACACACACACACACACACACACACACACACACACACACACACACACACACACACACACACACACACACACACATACACACACACACACACATGCACACACACACACACTGGAGGTTAACAGAAAATCATTTTTATTTTTACCTCCAAAGATAAAATGAGATAATCCTTTAATGATCCCAGAAGGGAAATTCAGCAAAAAAAAGACAAAAATAGCAAACATGTAAATACGTATGAAATGTCTATAAGAAATAAAATGCACTCCTCAGAAAAACTTGAAAGAACACTAGATCGTCACAGTATCAAGTCAAGACCTTTTCACTTCAAAGATATCAATCTGTTCATTAAGGAAGCACAGGTGAGTATAAATCCATTTCAGCTGTTTTGGTGCAAATTAAAGTGACAACAGGAACATATTTATGGAAATGTATGACACTGAAATGCAAAGAAAACCACCAAGCAGCCTATTGCAACAACGCCCAATTAGTGGATTAAGGATTTCTGGGGGGTGCGATAAACGGATACCTGGGCTGACCCATCAGATTCAAAATGGGACCCAGACCGCCTCCTGGATCCGCCCCTGCTGCCCAGCTGAAATCACCTGAGCCCATCCAGCTCATCGCGCTCACATCTACACATTCAAAGGTGATTATAATGTAACATTATCAAGCCAGATGTTTCCAAACACCCCAACCTGAGCACATGTGCGTGTTTATCCGACCCTTACTGCCCGAGAATTGAAGACTGTGAACAGATTATCGAGTGCAACAGAAGGAGCCTCTTTTCCCGGCTGGCATAGATGTTCCCTGTCTTAATCTCGAGTGACCAGCTTCTTGATCTAATGACCACAAGTCTCGCTCACTCTAATGTGTGATCTGCATCACAGTTTGTTATTGAATGTTTTTAAAGGATAATTTAGGTGAATGATGCTCCACTTAAATATAGGCCGAGCCTACATATAAGTGGGAAAGTCAAATAATTAATTTGCCGTTAAAAATAATGAACATGTTAAGGTTTCAAGATGAATCACATGCGTTAATACCTCTGATTAAAAACACAAAACTTGAGCATTAGATTTCATGAAACCAAAGATAGTTTTGCAATAAGGATAATGGCAGCATATCTCTCTTTTTAAAGTGATTTGACAGGTAGGTCTACTTTAAATCCCTGCTTGCCCCGACATGTGCAAAGGTCGGCACTTACTTCCTTACAGCTTTGACAGCAGCTGATCTCAGACCAGGAACATCAGTTCTTCATGAAATTGTTTCTTAACCGTATTTCATGAAAAGGAGAACTCTGTGATGGTTGTGCAGATTTGCACAAGTTGAAACATTTCTAAACTTTTTGCACCTTTGGCTCAGTTTGAGTTAAACATGAAAAATCACCAAGGTTGATACAGCTGCATCTTTGCATGAATTGGGTTTTCATTCGTATTTTCAAATACTTGAATAGTCTTTTTACATTTTTTATTGTTGTTTTAATACAACTTTTATCTCATCCTTAAAATATATATTTTTAAATTATTTCTCAGTGCCTGGTTGTAATGTGATACTACCGCCAGACGGTGGCAGTAGTACATTTGAAAGCTGTTTGCTAACCACCATTTAATAATAAAAGAAGAAATCAGTAGTTTCAGGTGACACAACTGTGTATGAATGGATTAGTTAATACTGATGGACACTTTACATAGGAGCCTCTGTCATCAGTGTGTGTAGGTGTGACTTTTGTTGTAGCAGAAAACTAGACGAGTGTTACACAAGCTCAAGTCCATTTACCATTTAAAACTGAAACATTACAGACTAGAGATGCTGAGATACTAAATGAGCATCTCCTAACCGAAGAAACTATCAATTTGACTTATCATTACGTAAATGATCAATGATCTATGATCTAGTATTTTCAGGCAAAATAGTCTCTTAAGTTAAATTTACTCTGACTCAATTCTTAATCTGTTTGCCCATAATAGCAATTTCCATGATGTGTTAGCATCAAGCTAACAAACTCAGATGTACATCTTGCTCCATCTGTGAGTCATTCAAATTTTCTTTCATTCAATATTTGCTGGTGACTCTGGAGTAGTAACTTTCCTTTCAATGCACATGTGCTTTAAAAACATCACACTTTTTGCCAACATGTAAAACAGTGGTGTGGTTTTCCCTGAAGGAGAGTTGCTGAGAATTGATGTCACTGAAGTCCTCATTGTTGCTGGTTAATGTTCGTTGCAAAAGCAAAATAACTGCCAAAAATGAGTTTGCTCTAAAAGTATATTCACTAAAATCAGTACAATCAATCTTCTGAATATTCACAGTACACATCACTTTATCTGGGCAAACAGTTGGTAACATTTTGGTCAAGAGGAGAGTGTTGTTTTAATGTAAAAATCACATTTTAAATGTGTTTTATTTAACATCTGTCTGTGAACGTTGACCAAAGTTTCCCCAAACGGTAAAAAAAGGAAAAGAAAAATTGAGGATGGATCAGGCGGATTACAACTATAAGCCCCCAGAGGCTTAGTACCACTATTATCCTCCTGCAGTGGGATTTACTCTGAGAATTATGTAACAGTGATGCTTCAACACAAATCACACACGGCTGTTTTGTCTCGTGGATTTTCTCCTCTGTTGATCCCGCTCTCCTCTGTTCAGCACTTCAGACGACCTGCTACAGATCTCAGTGAGACCACCAACAC